GAGCTCACTTGGTAGCCCAGGCTGGCCTCGAACTCACAGAGATCCGCCTGGCTCTGCCTCCCGAGTGCTGGGATTAAAGGCGTGCGCCACCACGCCCGGCTCTGTGTATTGTTCTTTTAGTCTCTGTTTCATTTATTTCTGTCTTGATCTTTATTAGTTTTTATTGTCTACTGTTTTGGGGTTTGTATTAGTCTTCTTTCCCTAATATCTTGAGATGCCAGGAATACACAAGGTTGAGCCCACCTTGGTCTGCTGGCAGTGGGCCAGAGGGTGCCTGGACTGGTCTTCTCTAGTGACCAGCCTAGCAAATAACCTTGCTGTCATTATAGAGCCTTTGTCCAGTGACTGATGGAGGCAGATGCAGAGATCCACAGCCAGGTACCAGGCTGAACTCCGGGAATCCAATTGATGAAAGAGAGGAGGGATACTGCAGGCGAGGGACATCGAGATCATGATGGGAGGATGTGCAGAGATGACCAGCCACACTAGTGGAAGCCCATGAACTGTGGACTGGTGGCTGTGGAGTCCCCAAGGGACTGGACTAGGCACTCTGGATATGGAAGAAGGTTGTTTGACTTGAACTGTTTGGGGGGCACCCAGGCAGGGGTTTCGGAATCTGTCCCTGGTCTATGGGCAGGCTTCTATGTAGCTTTGGTGCCTTTCCTGGATCTCCCTCTGTAGACCAGGCTGGCCTTAAACTCACAGAGATTCGCCTGCCTCTGCCTCCCAAGTGCTGGCATTAAAGACATGTGCCACCACCGCCTGGTTGACCATGTCAACTTTTGTAAAGGAAAACATTTAATTGGGGCTGGCTTACAGGTTCAGAGGTTTAGTCCATTATGGTTTTGGTGGAAAGCTACTAAGTCTCAAATTTAGGACAAATGGCTAACTGAGGTGCCTAGTTAATATATAAATGGGACACTGGCTACCTGTTACAGGGACATCCTGTAATAAAGAAAAATGAAAGAAAAAATAAAAAAAAATGCAAAACAAAAATAAAAACAAAAAGATCTCGAGATGCATCATTAAGTTATTTATTTGAGATATTTCTAGTTTTTAAAAATTAATTAAATTTGTTCTTTAACAATTTCACACATGTATGCAATGCATTGTAATTACAAACTTTCCTCTTAGGATTCCCTTAGCTGCAACCCTAAAGGTTCTGTAAGCTTTCATTTTTATTTAACTCTAGAAATTATTTAAATTTTCTCTCTGGCTTCTTTAATAACCCTTTGCTCATTTAAGACTGCATTGTTCAGTCTTTATGTATATGCATATGTATATTATACATATATGTATATATATGGATGTGTATGTGTATATGTATATTTATATGTAGTGTTCTGGGCCAGGCAATGGTGGCATTAGCCTTTAATACCTGCACTTGGGAGGCAGAGGTAGGCAGATCTCTCTGAGTTCCAAGACAGCCAGGGCTACACACATAGAAACCCTGTCTTGAAAAACCAAAAAAGAAAAAAGAAAAAAGCATGTTAAATCTCTTTTATTGATGGTGTAGTTGAACTCTGAGGCTTCTCTGCTAATTTTTCATTTGGATGATCTATCTAGAAATGAAAGTATGGTGGTATGGAAGTTACCCACTATTACTCTATCAAGACCTATCTGACCCTTTATTTCCATTAGTGGTTATTTTTTTTTTTTTTTTTTTTTTTTTTTTTTTTTTTTTTTTTGTGAATTTACATGTCTCAGCATTAGGTGCATATATTTACAATTGTTACATATTCTTGATGAATTGTTCCCATTATTATTATGTAATAACCTTCCATTCTACTTGATATATAGTCTTTCATATTCGACTCTCAGTCAGTGGGTGTTTGTACCAGTGAGAAGAGATTCCTGGAAACACCAGGTAGTTGGATTTAATTTTGTAATCCAGTCAAGCTGTCAAAGACTCTTTGTGAGTTGAGGCCATTTTTACCTATAATGTTATTAAAGAGGGATAATTATTGTAGTTTGTGTGTGTGTGTGTGTGTGTGTGTGTGTGTGTGTGTGTGTGTGTGTGTGTGTGTTATTGTTCTTTTTCCCTCCCTGACAATTTTAAGGGTTTGCTTGTTTACTGTGTAGGCATGATGGATTCCTTCCAAGGTCTCCTTTGTTCATCTGTTACTTTCATGGAAGTTATTCTTGCCTGCGCTCTCATGATTGAAACCAATTGATTGTCCTCCTCTGTGGCTAGTATTCCTTTAAGGATCTTCTATAGTGCTGAAGTTGGGATCATGAACTGCCTGAGTCTGTCTTAAAATGTCCTTATTCTCATTAATTGTAGATGATAGCTCTGCGGGGTATGGCCACCTTGGTCGGCAGTTATTTACTTTAAGGCTTGAAACACATAATTTCACAGCTCTCAGGCTCTCAGGGTTGGTGATAAAGAACTAATGTTATGCCCAATGTATTTACTTTAAGGGTTGGAATTTTTTTTTCTTAAAGCTTTCAGTATTGTTTTTTTTTTCTTTGTATTTTTGACATCTTGAGTATAACGTGTCATGGAGGGTTTCTTCTACTATCATGTCTATTTAGAGTTCTAAATGCCTCTGGTATTTGGCTAACAGCTCTCCTGGACAGATTCCAAGAGAAGAGTGTTTGACAGGCCGTAATATGTCCCCAGGCCCTTTGCCACTGACATCTCCTGCATACTTAATTACTCTACTCAAAAACCACAGACAGTTGTGGGTAGGCATGGAGGGGATAGATGGTGAGACCCTAGGTGAGGATCTGGTGATGCCCCCTTCTCAAGGAGGGTTAACAACTCCATTGCTCTTAGAGTTAGCTGGTACTATGTTGTTTTGTTTATTCCGTTACCATGGCTACAAGGCCAAGGTCCACACTTAGGTCACCACAGCAGTTTTGGCTCCATTGTGGCGGTGGCAGGAGGTCATCTCAGGCCCGGAGGAAATGACCTTCTACAACATTTCCCCTCAAACACCTGACTGCTTAGAGACTTTTCCTGGCCTCCTCTAGTCTCTCCTAACATCCTCACTGTGACCTCAGATGGCTCACCACCATAAAAATACAAACAAGGGAACTGGAGAGATAGATCAGTGATTAAGAAAGCTAGCTTGTTGCTCTTGGAGAAGACTAGATTCAGTTCCCAGCATCTATGATGGGTAAGTCATACAGTCTGTAACTCTAGTTCTAAAGGATATGATGCCTGAATGGAAAAAAGAACTAAAAAAGGAAGGACATGACTGCTCCTAGGCAAGGTGGAAGAGAAAGTTTATTGTAGATAACATAGGAGAGCATAGCAAGAGGTAGTTCATCTGGGAGAGTCCAGAGTGGACATGACCCTGAGCCACGCCACGTGAGGAGATGGGGAGGAGAGCCAGGAGAGTGAAGGGTAGACAAAAAGGGCAGGGTAACGAAAATGGTTGGATTATATAGGGAAAGGCAGCTGGGGAAAGGACAGCCTGCCCCCTGGCTGCAGAAGTTTAGGGTATATTAGCCATACCTTATAACAGGTAGAGACCGAGAGATGCTGGGAGAACCTGGTGGCCAGGTCCAATTTGATTAAATAGGCACCTCAGTTAGCCATTTGTCCTGGGTTTGAGACTAGCAATACCCTTTTCTGGCCTATACAGGAATCTATATGCATGTTCACATAAATACACACAGGAAAATAAAAATAAAATAAATCTTTAAAATAATACAAACAAGGGAAAAAACTAAAAAACATAAATATTATAAAATTTAACGTCTTCTTGTTTATTACCTACCATCTCCAAGTTGGTCCCCTAAATTTCACCTCTCCTCTCTTCCATGACCACCTGTGCTGGAATTAGGAACTGTTTCTAGAAAACCCTATTTTCTAGTAGATGAACCCCAACAGACCCTGGGCTTTGAAGCAGGATCTCAACACAAAGCTCAGGCTAGCTTCAAACTCAGGACCTTTGCAGGACTGCCTTGCAGGTCTTCAAATTTGAGAGATGCACATTGTGAAAATCTAACCTCAAAAAAAGTAGATCAAATGTGAATTAACTTACTTTTCTTAATAATTCTTGGATATATAAGAGATAACATGGTGGTGTTCAATTATTCATATCCCCTAATGATTTTTAAGGAGATTGAACATTGAGAAATTACATTTAGTATATGATTTCTCCCAAGACCAAGTATGACAGAAAGCTTTATCGGCCAGTAATTTATTATTACCTTAGATATTTGCAGTTAGATTGTATTAAATTCCTAGATGATCATTCAGTTTCTGCCCATCTAGTTTATTTGTTTTGTTTCTGTTTTTCAAGACAGGGTTTCTCTATGTAATAGCCCTAACTGTCCTGGAACTTGTTTTGTAGATCAGGTTGACTTTGAACTCACAGAGATCTGCCTACCTCTGCCTCCTGGCTGTCTAGTTTAAAGTCTTAGCTCAAAGAAGCATTTTCCACCAACTAGCAGCTGCCTTTGTGAGTGGCGTGCAACTCACAGAAACCTTTCCAAGTCATTGACTGCTCTGGTAGTGTTAGTCTGTCCTGCCAGTCAATGTCTGAAATTTGGCCAGTTTGAAATTTTCTTTACATTATTGTTAAACCTGTACTCAGTCCATCCCTGGACTTATTTAGAGACAGTTGAAATAAATAGTTGTAAACTAGTGGATCATAAAAAGCTAAAGTCTTATTACTTGGGAGGCCAAGGCAGGTGGACCTTTGTAGTTTGAGGCCAGCCTGGTCTACAGAGTGAGTTCCAGGACAGCCAGAGCTACACAAAGAAATCCTGTCTTGAAAAAAAAAAAGTAAAGTCTTTAGGTCTTGTGTGTGTGTGTGTGTGTGTGTGTGTGTGTGTGTGTGTGTGTGTGCATGTGTGCGCGTGCATGTGAATATGAGGCACAGATGTTGCCAACTCTTTAGCTAAGAACAGAAGCAGACAGGGACCATTCGGGCTGGTAAGCAGAGAAACTGCACCCAAACTGCAGGTCTGTCTTGGATATTGAAGTCGGAGCTGACATGAAGTGTTTATTAAGCTGTACCTAAAATTATACCATCATTTTCAGTGACTTTGAAATTTGGCTGTTAGTCAGAAAAATTCATAAGTGAAAATGAGTTGACTAGAGTGTGAAGAAATGATTTCCACAACTTGCAACTTAAAGAAACATATATATATGTCTCTGCTACCTTAATTGATCCAAATAGAGATTCTCAGGCAATTTCGCCATACACTCTGCTGTAAACAATCAGATGGAAACACTTTAACATCATGGTCTTTTCTCTGACTGATGTTAATAGCTCCTTGTTTATATGACTGGATGTGATGTGGCATTGACTACAAAGACTTATCTTGAATTCTAGCTTTAGATGTAGATGTTTACAGTAATGTAGCAAGGGTTAAGAGATACTCCATGTACTTTCTTGATTTATTGAGTAGTAAAACCAGGAACAAAGAAATGAGAGAAATCAAAAATTTGATGACAGTATAGGGGCTTTGATTGAAACCAGCTCAGGAAGATAGTCAAATGCTGGAAAAAGTATTTATAAGAAGTCCTGGGCATAAGCTGTGTATTTGAGTCACATTTGACTAGATATTGATAATAGTTTGATGTACAACACATGTTCACAGCAGCTCAGTTCCTGACAGCCGAAAGGTAGACGCAGCCCAGATGTTCAGGAGAACAATGAAAAAGGAGCTGAAGTTGATACATTCAATGGAATATTATTTGATCATAAAAATAATAAAATACAGACACACACTGCAATGTGGAGAAACCTCAAAAACATATGCTCAGTACGTGGTGGTTTGAATAGGAATGGTCCCCATAAACTCATAGGCTTGACCCATAGGGAGTGGCACTGTCAGGAGGTGTGGCCTGGTTGAAGTAGGTATGACCTTCCTTGTTGGAGGAAGTGTGTCACTGTGGAGACGGACTTTGAGGTCTCATACATGCTCAAACTACACCCAGTGTGGCACACTTCTGCTCAGCTCCTTCTCCAGCACCATGTCTGCCTGCACGCTGCCATGCTTCTCATCACGATGATAATGGACTAAACCTCTGAACTGTAAGCCAGGCCCAGTTAAATATTTTCCTTTATAAGAATTGCCGTGGTCTGGGGGTTGGGGCTTTAGTTCAGTGGTAGAACACTTGCCTAGCAAGCACAAGGCCCTGGGTTCAATTCTCAGTTCTGGAAAAAAAAAAAAATTGCCGTGGTCATCTTGTCTGTTCACGGCCATGGAAACCCTAACTCAGAGACGGTGAAAGACAACAAGGAAGAGTGCATTTCTGAAATATCCGGAATGTGTAAGTCCAGATTCTGAAGGCACGCTGACACTTAAGAGAGGCAAGGGGAGTAGAGAAAAGAATTGATGATGATGAAATTCCCTAGAGACCAGAAGGAGGTGGTGGTTGTGTATGTACTGAGTATACTGAATTGTTCACTTTGTCGGCTTGTTTGTTTTTCAGTTGGAAACTTACTCTATAGCTCAGGCTAGACTAGAACTCACTATGTGGTGCAGGCCAGCCTCACACCTGTAATTCTCCTGCCTTAGCCTTCCAAGTGCTATGACTATAAGCACGTGCAAAATGTCTGTCTAAATTAATTTTCTTTAAAATGGACAGTTTTGGGGTCAGTTAGGCCTCCATGGGTAAAGATGTTTGTCACCACAAGCCTGACAACCTGAGTTTGATTGACAGGACACACATGGTGGAAAGAAAGAACTGATTCCCCGAAGTTGTCCTCCGACCTCTACATATATGTACTGTTTCATACACCCCCTATGCAAATAAAAATTTTTAAAATAATTTATTTATTTTTATTTTATGTGTATTGGTGTTTTGCCTGCAAGTATGTCTGTGTGAGGGTGTTAGATCTTGGAGTTACAGACAGTTGTGAGCTGCCATGTGGGTGCTGGAATTGAACCCAGGTCCTCTGGAAGAGCAGTCAGTGTAAGTGTCACAGCTTGGAAGGAAAGGTATCCTGGCAGTCGGGAGCCAAAGACTACCACAAACTCACACTGCACAACAAACCTCACACAAGAGATTTATTGGGAGGGAAAACCAGGAGGGTGGCTGCCTCTGCTGGGCAAGAAACAGCAGAGAACTGAACAGAAGACAGGGTTTATATGGCTTTCTTGTGGGGTGGGGTGGGGTGGGGTGGGGTGGGGTGGGGTGGGGCAGAGCTTTCCAGGGTGGGGATTGGTGGGATTTCAAGTTCAGAGCTTGATTTTTTGCTCTGTAGGACAGGAAGGGGCAGGGTCCAGCAGTTAGGGTAGTTAGTGTTCTCTGGGTGGAACCTGGCAGTTGGAGGTCCTCAGGGGGGAGGCCTGGCCACTCCTGTGCCTGGAGGGGCTTACAGTCAGTGCTCCTAACCCTGGGCCATCTCTCTAGCCCCAACAAATATATTTCTTAAATGTAATAAAAATTTAAACATTTTTTTTAAATGGACATTTTTTTTAATCATGTGTACTTCCCCTCAACTAAAATAACAGCTTGAGAATGAACAGAAGTGAAGGTAGTTAATTGACACTGGAGGCCTAGTTAGCATCTGCCCGGAAGGCAGAAGACTTTCGGCAAACACTCTTTGGGCCATGATGCATGGGACTCTAGTTTCTCTGCTGAGTCTTTTCAGAAAGGTGTCTTCCAGGTATTCGGACCCCTCCCCCATGGTCACTTTTGCCATCAACTTGACTAGATTTAGAATCAATGTAGAAATACACTCCTGGTTGTGCCTATCAATGAGGGGTTGTTCCTAGAAATGTTGAATGGAGATGGGAAGAAACTCACTGGGTGCGCACAGCACCATTCTGGTGAATGCAACCTTGGACTGAATGAAATAATGAAGAGAGCTGACCTAAGCATTTTCTCTCTGTTTTTCCGACTGAAGGAGCAAGGCCATCAGCCACCTCCTGCTCTTGCTGCTCTGTAATAATGGATTGGACCCTCCAACAGCGAGCTGAAGTAAAACCCATCTCAGTGGATTTGTTAGGGAATTCGTCAAAGCAGTAAGAAATCCCTTCCTAGAAACAGTGCAACCAGAAAACAGCATTGAAACCAGATTTTTAAAAATTATTACGTATCTTTCTTTATGGGGGGTAGGCGTGGCCTGCAGAGGTCAGAGGACAGACAGCTCCCCCATGCAGCTGGCTCTCTCCCTCCATCATGTGGGGCCCCGGGGCTGGAACTCAGGTTTGTATGGCAAGCACCTTTACCTGCTGAGCCATCTCAGGGGAAGGGACACTAGATGACAGATAGTCTAATCTCCGTATTTTACGGCTCCGAAAGCTCAGGATCACAGATGAGCCCAACTTCCGTTAAATAGCAATGCCCATTCCTGTCAGCCGAAGACTAAGCTTGCCTCCAGCACTCTTTCTGCGGCCCGTCGCTGCTTCAGCCTTGACCCCAGCCCCTGGAAGGGTGAGACTGCAGAAGAAAGAGTTGGCCAGACAACAGCTGTACTTGTGTGGACCGGGTCTCGGGGCCGTGTTTGGGTGTGGACGAAATACAGCTGCCCTGAGAGAACACAAGCGAAGTGGGTGGTAACTAACTTATTAAAAGCCCGAAACACAAGTATCCCAGTGCTGCATGCAGTTCCTCTTCCAGGAGGCAATAGCTCCAGTTACAGCCCCCTTTCATGAGGGAGCTTATTTAGCCTGAAAGGAGAAAGCCAACGAAAATAAGGACATGCGCCCCTCGTATACATTTCCCCAAAGTATTTGAAATTTGATAGAGTTTTAGAATCAAGATTGATGTCAGGGAAAACTGGCCAACATTAACGTTTGCCCTTGCAATTTGTTTGGATAGATGAGTTAGTTTTTGATTCTCTACAAAGAATTCCAATTAAAAAATATTTCATTGTGAGGAGATTTTTCCTATAACATGGGGCCAGTGGCAAGAGATTGGAGTTACCATTAAAAGGAATAGGAAAGGTGCCACACCAACTCCAGTGTCGTCCGTGTGACATGAACAATTATGTCAATAATAGCGGACTGGAGATATGTGTCCCACGAGACTAAGCTCCCTGGAGGTCCCTGGCAGAGTGCTCGTGTTATGCCATCTTCTTGAAGGAGACGTGCTTCACAGATCATGAGCTCTCTGGGCTATGGGTTCTGTATAACTGCTTTTCTGATAATGTTCTAATTAATCTATAAAACATAGCCAAAATTAATGAATGCTTGGGTTGTAAACTATGAAGGAAAGGGGAAGCTGGACATGGACCTTATTTAGATATAGCAGAATGAGCTATTCCTTAAAGACCTCAAGCCGCTAGATAATAGAAAGTATAATAGTTCAGGCACTTCTAGGGAATGAACACTCACCCACTAGGAATCCTTTAGGAATCCCAACTAAAGCGATTTATGGCAGAAAACATTATCTCATAGGAGACAGATGGTGGGCCCCTCTGTTGAGGAAGTTCAGCATGGAAAACTTAAGGACTACAACAGAATCCCTTCCCCTTACAGGCATAAAAAGTACAAGAGTCCATATTCCAACAGGTAAAAAGGTTTTATACTAAAACAGATATGTGATAAAAGAACTGAAGAAAGACTTAGAGAGGGTCTGCAACATCCAAATTGGCTAAGTGGGTCATGAGAACCAGAAAAGTAGAAGTGCATAATAAACTAGAGAGCGGCTGAGATAAAGATGAAGGACACAGCCGGAACCACAAAGAAGCCTTCATAAGTCTAGGGACCATACTAAGTTTAAAAAACACAGACTGCTCTTTGGGTCATAAAGTTCTTGTGAGTGAAGGGATATGTCTAGTGCCGATTAGTAACTGTGTGCTTGATGTTTTTTAAAGATGATGTTATTGAATTATTGCCAAGCTCTTGTTGCTCCTTGTATGACTTGATAGTTTTCTTTTCGGTATATAAACTACTGATTTGCAAAAGTAAAATTGCAGCAGATTCAAACCACTTCTGAGTGTCTTGTCTGTCTGTCATTCGCCAAATCCTTGCCTTCCTGACTACCCAAGCCCTGGTTCTCCTATGGTCCTGGTACCCCCAATGGGCCAGTCTGTGGCAAAAAGGTCTTCATGTCTTTTGTTTTTTTTTAAGTGCAGTAAAGGGAAATGGAGCTTTTAAAGTGTGTGTGTGTGTGTGTGTGTGTGTGTGTGTGTGTGTCTTAGTTATGGTTTCTATTGCTGTGAAGAGACAACTTTTTTGGGGGGGAGGGTTCAAGACAGGGTTTCTCTGTGTAGCTTTGGTGCCTGTTCTGGATCTCGCTCTGTAGACCAGGCTGGCCTGGAACTCTCAGAGATCCTCCTGCCTCTGCCTCCCAAGTGCTGGGATTAAAGGCATGTGCCACCACTGCCTGGTTGACCATGTTAACTTTTGTAAAGGAAAACATTTAATTGGGGCTGGCTTATAGGTTCAGAGGTTTAGTCCATTATGGTTTTGGTGGGAAGCTGCTAAGTCTCAAATTTAGGACAAATGGCTAACTGAGGTGCCTAGTTAACATATAAATGGGACATTGGCTACCTGTTACAGAGACATCCTGGATGACATGTCCCACCTGTTATGAATTATGCACGGGGACCCCCAAGGATATCCCACGCATGCATACAGGGAAACATGCTAGGCAGGTGGGGGTGGGGCTGGGCTGATGCATGCCATACAGGCATGGCGGAGGCAGCAGCAACCAGTAATTCACAACCTAGATGCTGCATCCACATGGAGAGTTTATTATAATAGAGAGAGGGAGAGGGAGAGAGAGAGAGAGAGAGAGAGAGAGAGAGAGAGAGAGAGAGAGAGAGAGAGAACACCTCATGCCTCATGGGAGGAAAAATCAGAAGAGAGAGAGAGGAAGGGGAAGAGTTTTTTCTTAGAATGAGGCACCAAAGGGTGGGATTTCTAGGGGCTGGTCAGAACATTAACACCACCCCCAGGATAGGAATTCTAGCCACATCCCCATGATCCTGCATGTCCTGGCAAGACACTTAGTCATTTCTGGGCCCTGCGTCCTATGTAATCCTTGCACAGCATGATCATGTAATCTATGCGCATGTGTGGAGTAGCCACGTGGGCCCATGTGCGCATGAGCAGGATAGTCCATAAAAGGCGGGTTCCATGTATCCTCCCCCTTCTCTACACATCTTTTCAGCAGGCCTGATCACACACTCTGTCCCGTCCCTCCCTCCTCCTAATAAAACTCTTATAGTGGGTTCTGTTGTGCCTCGTGACTTTTCCTCACAGGGTAAGAGCACCGCATAAAACCAACACCCCATCCTGAATTCTCCAGCCCAGGGATTGGACTGAGTCTCTTTCCCCAGCTTCTCTTCCCAGCCATTTCGGCTATGCCAGTCTCTTGGTCTCTTGCCCTCTTGGCTGCTGCTCTTGGTCTCCTGGCTTACTCTTGGCCTCTTGGCTCCTTGTTCTCTCTTCCTCACTCACTCTTCCCACCTCTGTCTCTGTCTCTGTCTCTGTCTCTGTCTCTGTCTCTCTCTCTCTCATGGTCCAGTTCAATCTAGATCCTTCCAGATGCCTCTGGCTTTCTCCCTTATAGCTACAATAAACTTTATCCTCCACCACACTTAGGAGAATCGAGTCCTTTCATTTTTTTATTCAGAATTATGGGGTCACTCAAGTAGACATGTTGTCAGACAGGGAGCCAAGAGTTCTACATCTGGATCATCAGGCTGCAGGAGAGAGAGCCACTGAGCCTGGTTTGGGTTTCTGAAACCCCAAAGTCCACCCCCAGTGACACCTAATGGTGAGACCTAATAGCTTTTTGCCAGGACCATAATGGACTAAACCTCTGAACCTGTAAACCAGCCCCAATCAAATATTTTCCTTTATAAGAGTTGCCCTGGTCATGGTATCTCTTCAATGTCCTCCAACAAGCCCATATGTCCTAATTCTTTCAAATAGTGCCATTCCCTATGAGCCAGCCTATGGGGGCCATTTTCATTTGAACTGCCAGAGTGTGTGTGTGTGTGTGTGTGTGTGTGTGTGTGTGTGTGTGTGTGTGTGTTTTACAGTTCAGTGTGGCTGGAGCGTGCCAAGGACTGTCAGTAAGAAATGGCTTGCAGCCAAGTGCCTGCCTTGCGTTTGGTGAAGGAAGCAGGAGCCAGGTTGCTGTCAGTATTGGTGGGATGATATTCGAAGCTTTGAGGGGTTCAGCCTATTTGATGCCCTGGAGCAGAAAGAAACAATGGTTCTCTGATAATTAGGATAGTCCTCCTCTTTGTTTTACACAGACTGAACCATCTCCAGCCTGTGACTTAGTCTTTCCAATACTTTAATTCTACAAATCTTTGTTAGTGGCAGCCCCTGCACTTTCTCAGGAAATCAGAAACATAGAAGATCAAATTTAAAGATTTGATCATTGTTCAGTAGATCTCGTAGCAAGGGCTCTGCAGAACTGCAAAGATGAACATGCATTTCCTACCAGAAGTTTATCTGTGTTTAATCCTCATTTTTTAAATTAAATAATTAATTATTCTTCTTTTATTATTTATATTTATTTTATTCATATTGCATTTATTCATGCATTGTCATTTGACTCTATTTTCTGTTTCCCCAATCACACCCACCCGTTTCAGTCTACTAGAAGACTTTTCTAGGCCTAATATTTTTAAATGTTCATACAATATTTTCTGACTTAGTGCTCTTTATCATAAACATAAAAGTAAAATATCCACTTTCCTAGGACACAGCCTTCACCTTTTTTAAGGCTGAATGCCCATGTTTCTCCCTCTCTCTCCCCTATCATTTTATGGTGCTATCTTGGTGACCTTCTCTAGTGACACGACTTTCCAACATCCTCTCTTTCACATTGCTATTCAACAGTTTTTACTATCGATGACTCTTTTAACAGTGACTCCAAAGCTTGAATTTGAATGATCCACAGATACTGCAGTTTAGAAGAATTCCCCAAAGTGCCCCCTGCCTGGCATTTAATGTTGCTCCCTTGCTTGTGCCTGTGAATTGAACTCTTGTGTAGAGCCTGGCCTTTTCACTGTGAGAGAGCACTCACCTAGATCCTTGGGTATCAATGTCATTGTTGCAGCTACTCATGTCTAGACCTTGCTCATTCCAGATTTCCTTGGTACTTTGGCTGGTGTTAGGATTCTACCACCCCTCCAGCTATATGACTGCACATGCGCAGTTCAGTTGCTAAGTAAGGGGTCTTACGTCTTATGTCATCAGTGCACTGTGTGCGGTCACCCAATCTGCGCATGCGTGGCGTAGCTCCATAAGCCCACCTGCACATGTGCAGGGGAATCCTTAAACCGCCAGTCACAGACTCCTCCTCTCTCTTCTGCTCTCTCCTCCTCCCCCACTATCTGTCTCCCTGCTCATGTCTTTCACAGACCTGGTCACTCTCTTCTGTCCCCGTCCCCCCCCACCCCCAAAATAAAGCTCTGATACCGGGTTTTGTGGTGCTTCATGACCTTTCTGAGAAGGTAACAAGTGCTGCATTTAAAATCAACAGCTGGGCCTGGAGTCTCCAGTGGGACAAACTAAGTTTTCTATGGCAGGTGTTTTTCTCAAGCACATTGACAACATCATGCTGGATGGGAGGAGGCCATGAGAGCAGAAACAAAGGTCAGTGGAAAATCTTGGAAAAGCAACTTGTAGGCAACAACTTGTGTATATAAAGAGCAATAAGAGCGAGAGATTCTCTGTACATGGTGTGAGAGCTGCTGGACTCTGTGCATGCCTTGTATCTAGGCCTTGATTTGTGGGAAGGTTCTTACTTAGTATGCTCCACTGTATGAGTGTGTGTGTGTGTGTGTGTGTGTGTACACCTGTGTGAAAGCCAAAGGCCAACATTGGTTATTTGCCACTATTACTCCACCTTATTTTTTCTTTCTTTTCTTTTCTTTTTTTTTTTTTTTTTTTTTTTTTTGGCTTTTCAAGACAGGATTTCTCTGTAACTTTGGAACCTGTCCTGGCACTCCCTTTGTAGACCAAGCTGGCGTCAAACTCACAGAGATCCACCTGCCTCTGCTTCCCGAGTGCTGGGATAAAACATGCGCACCACCACCATTCAGCTCCACCTTATTTTCTTTTTTCAAATTCATTAAAAAGACCTTTTTATTATTACATGCAAATTGGGTTTTGTCTTTAATGCTTGCATTTTTTTTTGTTGTTGTTGAATTTTTTTTTTCACGCAGTGTATTCTGATCACAATTTTCTCTCTTCCAACCCCTTCCAAGATGGCAGTTGCTTAGCTCAGAGGGTAGTCACACATAATATGTGACCATTCTCAGTTTTTTATGTTGGGTGTGGAGGCTCAAACTCAGGACCTCATGCATGCATCTCAGGTACTTTATTGTTACACAACCACCACATGGGTTCTTTTTCAGCCAGGAACTTATGTATGATTTTTTCATAATTTATTTAACTTTATTTTATGAGCATTGGCATGAAGATGTCAGACCTCAGGGAACTGGAGTTACAGACAGTTATAATTCCAGTGGGTGCTGGGAATTGAACCTGGGTCCTCTGGAAGAGCAGCCAGTGCTCTGAACCACTGAGACATCTCTTCAGGCGCCGAATATTTTTATTTTTAAATGTATCATTGTTATTACTAATTTGTGTGCATGTGTATGATGTGTGTGGTGATATTGTATTCCCCCAAATATTGTGCACCCTAATAAACTTATCTGGGGTCAGAGGACAGAGCAGCCACTAGATAGACACAGAGGCCAGAAAACGGTGCCACACATGCCTTTAATCCTATCATTTGGGAGGCAGAGATCCATCTGGATCTCAGTGAGTTCAAAGCCACACTGGTAACAGCCAGGCATGGTGACTCACGCCTTTAATCCTAGGAAGTGATGGCAGAAAGCAGACAGGTATATAAGGCATGAAAACCAGGAACTAGAGCTGGTTAAGCTTTTAGGCTTTTGAGCAGCAGTTCAGCTGAGATTCATTCTGGATGAGGACTCATAAGCTTCTAGTCTGAGGAAACAGGATCAACTGAGGAATTGGCAAGGTGAGGTGGCTGTGGCTTGTTCTGCTTCTCTGATCTTCTAGCATTCACCCCAATACCCAGCTCCAGGTTTGTTTTTATTAATAAAAACTTTTAAGATTCTTGCTACAGCCGGGTGGTGGTGGCACATGCCTTTAATCCCAGCACTCGGAAGGCAGAGCCAGGCGGCTCTCTGTGAGTTTGAGGCCAGCCTGGGCTACAGAGTGAGTTCCAGGACAGGCTCCAAAGCTACACAGAGAAACCCTGTCTCGGAAAAAAAAAAAAAAGATTCTTGCTACAGATGTGTGTGTGTGTGTGTGTGTGTGTGTGTGTGTGTGTGTGTGTGTGTAGACATGCGATTCAGAATGTGTGGGGAAGTTCTGAGGACAACTTTCATTGATCAGTCCTCTACTTCCATCACGGGTCCTGGGGATCCAACTCAGGCGGTCAGGGTTGAGCGGCAAGCACTGTTGCACACTGAGCCCTTTCTCCAGCCCTGTATTCGAGTGTTCTAATGAAGAAGAGTACAAACTCCCTGGATTTGCAGAAACGTTTTTGTTACAGAACATCAAGTTACTTTTATACACCAAGTCAAAGACAATTCGTAAAAAGAGACACTGAGCCTGGAGAAGTAATTTTAATTGGCAAAAACAAGTTAGTGCCAAGATGAATCTGAATTTTAGGTCTTGGATTATCTCAAAATTGACATTTAGTAAACGGGCACACAGATGGCAGTAAAATGCCCTACTCGCCCCTACCTCCCCCACCAGGGTCATCCTAATGAATGAAGCTTTAAACTATGCACATAGAATCAGTTAAGTAGACACAGATTCTAAATAATACAGGCAGGCAAGATGTGACAGTTAACTGCATGTGGTAACCAGATGGGGTTAAGGAATATCCAGGGAACCTGTAAAACATTTTCTCTGGGTGTGTCTGTCAAGGTGTTTCCTGAACCTCTAAGCTAAAAAATCTGCTTTCCCTAGTATAGTCAGACATTACCCAGACCAGTGAGGACTCTCTAGATTGCCAACAGCAAAGTGTGCTATCTCTTGGTTTTGATAAATACATACATATACATTCACATATATATATTTCATAAATGCTACTAAGATTTTTATTAAGATTTTATTAAAGCATAATTACATATAAAACTCATGCATCCAGGCAGTGGTGGCACACGCCTTTGATCCCAGCACTCGGGAGGCAGAGCCAAGTGGATCTCTGTGAGTTCGAAGCCAGCCTGGTCTCCAGAGGGAGATCCAGGACAGGCACCAAAACTACATAGAAAAACCCTGTGTCAAAAAAAAAAAAAAAAAAAAACAACAACAACAAATAAATAATAAAATAAAACTCATGCAACTTTATATAGCATAACACGGATTCATATTTTAGCTTTTTACAAAGATTTGTTTGTATTTTATGTGTATGCATGAGTGCCTGAATATATATTACTGTATCATTGTAACAGACCCCGACACCTTAGATGGCCCTGCCAGACCTTAACATAATTGACGCCATGATAGAAGTACCATTCAGGCCTTGGAACCCAACACATAGGCAGCACCACCTACCAAAATGAAAACAAAGAGCTGATCCATCAGAGTCCATAGTTCTGGGACAGTTCCCACATGCACTGATCTTGCCTTTTGGCTTCTGTCGTTCTGCTTCTGGCTGACTGTTCTTGCTAACGGAGGTGTGTCAACCCAGGATGTGGGGATTATGTTTAAAAAGCCTACCCTGAGAAAGGCTGGGGACTGCAGTTGGGTCCTGAACACCCAGAAAAGTCACCAGCTAGTTAATAAAGACTTTCTATTGGCTTGAACCCATGTCTAGAAGAACCCAGTGGTCTTCTCTAGTGGATACCTTACAACATCACATCAGTGCCTGCTTTCCCCAGAGGCTAGAAGAGGACAGTATCGCCCCTGAAACTGGTGTTAGAGGTGGCTATGAGCCTCCGAGTGGGTGCAAGGAACTAAATTTACGTCTGTTAATTCCAACAGTGAAAATAAGAACACTACCACAATTTGAGCCAAATTGGAAGCAAGCTTGATTTTTTTGTTGGGGTGCACCCAAGAGCTGGCCTGCGACTGCTTCCTAAGTCAGGTTAAAGAGAGCAGCCCTGAATCCATTTCTTGGGCCCCTTTTAAGGAGTAAAATCACAAGTAGTTTTACAGAAGAAAGACAATGGGGCAATAAGAAAATACAGAAAAAGAAATCTTTAAAAAAACATCATGTGGTCACCATGTGATTAGGGAGCGTTCAGGAAAGATGAAGGAGGGTATTCTCAAAAACAAATCAAAGTCATGGGTTGGGAAAGGTAAGGTTCCAGGAAACAGAGAGCAACTCAACTCTTATAGTAAATAGAAACTTATTTTATAACAATACAGCATAATGGCTCCTGCCTTCAAAATGGAGTCAGGCGGGTTCCTTAGGTCCTGTGCAAGAGCAACAGTACTCTTAACCTCTGAGCATCTCCCCAGCCCAACAGACTTACAGTTTTAATGAGTAAATCAGAATAGCTGTCTAGTTTTCATTGAGATGCAATTTACCTAGAGTGTCAGCATGATGGTTAGCATTAACTGTCAACTTGATATAATTTAGAAACACCTGTGAGATTTAAAAACACTATGCCCACCCACTACAGAGAGCACTACTCCTTGGTGGAGATCCTGTATTGCATAATGGGAAAAAGAAAAGAAAAGCTGATAAGAAAAGAAAGACCTTGAATAGCAGATGGTATTCATCGTTCTCTGCCTGTGGATGCAAAGTGACCAGCCACTTCCTGTTCCTGCAGTCTTGCCCTTCTCTTCCTGCTACTACATCTTCCCAGAGTTCGCTGTGTCTTCTGGAACTGTACATCAGAATACACCCTGTGTGTTTTAGATCGTTTCCTTGTGTGCATTGTCTCACAGGAACAGAAAACTAGGCCAATCCTATAGCCTGCTGAAGTGAAGGAGTTCCTGTGTGTTCTGAACACTTCCTTAACTCTCCATTGCAGTGCCAGCAAGAGAGCAAGGGAAATGGCAACATTATCTGAATTAGTCTCAGAGGCTAAGAGTGGGAAAGAATGGAAACTAAAGACGAGAACGGCATTCACAGGGAGGAGAACGAGACTCTTGTGTGATTATGTAAATGTACAACATAGAATAATCTTTCCT